CGGCCGCCTTCAGAGGCAGGCAGTCACGCGTCTGGCACAGCTGGTCCTCACACGCTGCACCAGGGGAGCTCTGAGACCTCGGCCCCTGCTCTGAGCTCATGGGCCAAGGAGGAACCTTCAACTTAGGACTTGAGTCAAGGGAGGCTTCAGAAGAAGGAGGCACGAGCCGGGTGCCTGCGTGGGAAACAGGCCTGGCTCACCAGGGCTGAAGGAGCAAGAATGAGGGGCGTGCTGGGGTGGATGGGCCCCAAATTTCCAGCTCCCTGATGCTCTATTCAAGACAGGTCCAGCCCAGGGAACCAGCAGTTAGCGTAATGGCTATGTTGCTGGACTCCCATGTAGTCAACTGCGGTTCGCATCCCGGACCCGGTGGCTTAAACTCACGCCGGGCGCGTGTGCATGCGTGTCCAAGATCCCAAGAGGAGAATGGAGGAGAAGGGATTGCGGCGTGACCATCCCCCCTGGGGGGTGATTTCTCGCTTTCTGTCTCTCTGTCTCTCTCTGTCTGGCGAGCTCACGTGCTCTATAGCGAAAACCTCTTCCCCCCCACCCAAAAAAAAGAAAAGACAGGTCCAGCCCAGAAAGGCTGTCTGACTGGTGGACCCTGAGTCACCTGCTGTGAGAAACTGGGACACAGTTCTGTCACTGGAAAAAGGAAAGCAGAGGGGAAAGAAAAGGATTTATTTGGACCGGGGTTGGGAGATCACCCGAGCAGCACCAGATCCAAGGTGACCCACATAATGCATGGCTCTGAAGGCAAAAGTTGCAACTGGGGGAGGAGCAGGGGTCTTGCGCAGCAGTGGCCGGCTGAACTCAGGGGCTGGGAGCGGGTGACCTTACGGCTGCCCAGGGTGCATCTGGAAGGGCGAGGCAGGATGGTTTGGGCAGCGTGGGCATCTGTAAAGCATGAAGTCCTGCGGCTGGGCACCCTGGGCGGGCGCAGGCATGCCCCTGAGGGAGCCCTGCGCTGCCAGGCCATGCGCTTTACCTGTGTGCTGGCCGGGCAGGCAGGGCTCTCCTGTCCTGGGGACTCCCAGCTCCCTTGGAGCCTTGGTCGGACGCCATGACATTTTGTGGTGTGTTCTTAAGAGAGATGTTTGCAATAGGTCACGTGCACTCACTGAGAAACAGAGTCAGAGAGAAAATGAGGAATCACCCCCCAGCGGGGACGGCCACTCTGCCATCCCTTTTTCTCCATTCTCTTCTCGGGATTTTAGGCACGCATGCACATGCACTCAGCATGAGGTTCAAGCCACCAGGTCTGGGACTCAAACTGCAGTTGGACACGTGGGAGCGCAGCGCCATAACCACTATGCCACCTGCTGGCCCCAGTATGGCATTGTTGCTCCATGGGTTTGGTCTACTGGGCCCAGAGTTGGAGTATGGCTAATAATGGCTCCCGTGGCTGTTCAAGTCTCTACTTTCTCTGCAGCAGGACTAGGCCCACCCACACCAGAAGTCCCCCACAGAAGCTGGTCTTCACGTGACCTACGTCAGCAGCTGAATCGTGTGAGCAGACACCACACAAAGCGTAAAACACTGGTTGTAAAGTGCTCGTGAGGTCTGGCTGACCGAGTGCTTCAGAACGGGGATGCCCAGGAAGCCCCTCCAGTGCCCCTGGAGCCTGAGCCAGAAAAATGCGTGACTTAGCCCCTGAGCTTCGGGGGCTGCTTGTCCCGCAGCAACATCGCAGCAAGAGCTAAGGGAGGGGCCTCTTGCATGGTTCATGGCACAGTCAAGTCTGCAAAGCACACGGAGTGCCACGCAGGGAGAGCTGGGGGCAGGTCAAAGCCACAAACTGTCCCACGGCTGGGCAGACAGCTGGCCCAGAGACAGACTCTGGAGCTGTTCTGTTAGAAACGGCACAGATGTTCTGGTCGCCAGCGTTCAAGCATGTTTGAATCAGCCAAAGCTTGAGCCCGAGCCAGACCCACGGCATTCTGAGCACGCCCAGTGCTGTGCCGGGCTGCCCAGGACAGTGGAGGCGCCAAAGCAAGCCCAGCAGCCAAGCCTGGTGAAGCCGACACCCACCCCGGAAGCAACCAACTCCCCACAGCACCTCTCAACTGCCCCTGAGGACGCCCGCCCTGTCGCAAACGGCAATAGTGGGGAGGCCGGGGTGCACGGCCATCGGTCGGCAATTCTGAGACACAGCTGTGCTCTGGAGGCTGCTCCACCTGCAGGATCCCTGCACATGGAGGACAGGTGGCCTTCTCCCCAGGACTGCCAGGACCCAGGGGTCCTGCGGGATGTCATGGCTCTGGTGAGACCTAGGATGGGGGCCAGCCCAGGACTGGGGCAGAGAAGAGGACTCGGCCCGGGGGTGAGGATGGCGAGGGAGGTGGCTGTGTGACAGTCCAGGGGCCATGGTGGGACCTTGCTGGTGCCCTCTGGACCCCTGTGCAGGGCACGGCGAAAGAACTGCAGCCCACCTGTTCCCAAGGCGCAGCCCTCAGACCTCGAAAGAAATGCGAATTCTCAAGCCCCAGCTCAGGAACCAGTGGCCCAGCTTCCACCCACTGCGCCTGGGAGGCCGTCCACGCTTGAGATCGCTCACCTCAACCTGGGAGCCTGGAGAGCCTGCAAACCCTGCACCTTCACAGAGGGGCAGCACAGCAGACCTCTGATCTGCCCCGTGTTTTAAGAGGGTGGCGGGCAGCCTGCTTCAAGAATCGGCAGGCCACGTGCTGTGGGCACCTGATGGCAGAATGCAGGAGTAGAACACCAACTCCAGCTCATGCCCTCAGCACACTCAGGAGTTGGGTGGCCACCACTGGGGCAGCCCAAGTCCAGAGCAGTCTCCGCTGCCCCACTGTCCCGCTGTCCAGTAACCACAGGCTTCCATCACCCACAGCCCAGAGCCCAGCTTCTCTCCAGACACTGCCCATGTACCACCCGCCCCTCTGGGGAGGCTTAGCCGGGGACCCCAGTGAAGGATGCTGGTCCCCAGTTGCCCCCTTCGCTTCCTCCCCAGTCCCCATGTGGAAATGAATCAAAGGAGAACAAGCATGGGGGCTCCTCCCCTCAGGAGAGCTAAGGACACCCTAACCCTAACCTTAACCCAGAAAGGAAGGCCCTTGGAGTCTAGAGACCAGGCCCACCCCGCCCTGTGGGGCACACAGCGGGAGTGTCTGAGGACAGAGCCAAAAGCAGCATTTCCGCATTTGGGAACTTCAAGACCAGAACTCAAGGGACACAGCGATTGTTCTTGGAGGGAGGACAGGGGAGGGGATACAGGAACACCCACAGGAAGCTCCCTGCTGTCCACACAGGACCCAGGCTGGGGACAGGGACCCCAGGGCAGCTCCAACAGCTGCCATACCTCGCCCTTGGCACTCAGCCACACTCTGGCTCTCGGTGGGTGCCGTGCTGACTGACCAGACGCTCACCACGCTCTGGCCCCCCCATCCTCTGGCCCCCCCATCCGTCTACCCCAGAGCCTTTCAAAAATCAAAATGAAAAAGGAGGAGGCTGGGGTGGGGAGGATGCATTTTCATAACAAAACGCAGAATGGGAGGGGGAAAGGGGACATGTAGGGAGGAAGCCGGGACAGACAACCCCAGGGAGAGCCGGCCCCCAGCTCCAGACCAAATCCTCAGTCCAAGGAGCAGGGCGATGCGGGCCCTTCCAAGGGGCGGGTGGGCCTCCTGCTAAGCCACCCGGGCGGCCGCCTGCAGGGCCTCTGCCCGCCACTGCATTCCAGCCTGCCTCTAGCAGGCCCAGGCCCTTGTGCACTGTGCCCCTGCCTGACTCCACGCAGGGCTCGCCACGCTCTCCGTGGCAGCTTGTAGGCTGAGAGGTCCTTGCAGGGCGGGCACCGCCAGCCCTCCAGAGTATCACTTTACGTGGCCTGTGATGGGGCTCTCCCCCGCCATTGGGAAGACTCTCTCCTACTGCACTCCCACGGCGCCTGGACCCACGAGGCATTTTGGGGAGAAGGCGGGGATCTGCGGCCTGGCGCCCACGCACTGGAAAGGAGGAGGTTCGCAGCCCCCCAGCCGCCCCTTCCCCTGCGTTTCCTGCCTCTGCAGCTCAAGCCGCAGACCTGTGCGGGCGCCAGCGGGGCAGGGCGCCCTCCGTCGGCCTCGGTCTGGGCAGCCGCCTCTGCAGGCCAAGACAGGAGGCTCAGGGCCCGGTCAGGAGAGGGGAGACTGGTGGGGTCTGCTGGGCCCCGGCCAGGGGTGCCCCAAGCTAGGTTTCTGCTCCTGCGGACCCACACCTCCCGGGTCTGGGGCGCGTGCAGAAGGGGCGGTGCCGGCGCGCGAGACCTCGGGGGCGGGGCTGGGACACGGGTGGGCGCGGACAGGGGGCGTGGCCTGGGGGCCGGGGCGGGCCCGGGATGGGAGGGGCGGGCTGAGCAGCTGGAGCGACCCCGGGCGCGTGGCCCGGATTA